CTTTTTTTCTTTGAAGATCTTGCTTATCTGGTAGCTCACTTGAACCTTTGTTTTGTTCTCTCAGTTTACTTCTGGGTTCAAGGTCCTCTCTCTGTCTGTTAGGAAGAGTACCCTGAGCATCTTTCATTTCGCTCAAACCCATTATGTTCAAAGTGGAAATTTCCATCATACCTTAATAATCTTTCCTATTTCCTACATCAAAGGAGTCCAAATGTTGTCTTGTAGATACAGACATTGGATACAAAATAGGACCTACTTTTTGCCACAAAACATACTTCAATTAGTGTGTGGCATATACTGTAGATAATCGAAGTGTTAGAGAAGAAAGTGGCAATTACAGTGTAGTTAGAGAAACACTATGGAAACATAGCTATGATACAATATGCAGAAATGGGAAGTCCATCCTTGATATGGAGAAAACGACACATTCAGAGACCTGACCTAAAATATGGCTACACCATTGCATGGAGGAAGAACTACTTTACTGCCCAGTTGCACACACACACACACACACACACACACACACACACACACACACAGGTATAGATATAGGTGTCTATATAGATGATATCTCTGCTTATCCTGTTGTGATTAGGTGTAAGTACTAGGAGAGATGCTGATCCAAGTGTTTTCATATGATTTGGTAAATAGCTTAGTACAGGGGCATATGTGTCAGGAACTTCTTATGTTTTCAACATATTATCTCATCCGTTCTCACAGCAAGTGAGTACCATCATTATCCCACTTTACAACTAAAGAGACTGTCCTGAAGAGGGTCAACAGCTAGCTCTAAGACTAGAGGGCGTATGAGTGAGGTAAAGGAAGTCAGTGCCCAACTGTGAGGAGATATGAGGTTGACTGCTAAGGTCTCTGCTAATTGTGAAATTCCAGGATTCCTGGTTGGTCTGGGTGCTTCTCCTTTACCTGTGGTTAGAGAGCAGGGAAGGAGAAGGAAGAATTTTCCTTAATTGCAGGAGTGGTGAAGACATTAGCTTGGGGCTTAAAATATATTGCTATCTTCTAAGACTTGTCAAAGTAGATTGTGTCCCTAGAGATATTTAAAGGCAATTACATCCTTCATTTGCATGTGGCTGTGGTTGGAGAAGCTGCAGGTTATCTACCAAAGGGGACTTTTATAGAGTTTTGTGAGCAAACTTTGAAATGTTCTCCTAAGAACTTACTTTGTAAATTCCTTTGCTACATTCTAGTTAATCAAGGCCATCTGGAACCTAATTTGCCACTAGAACATTTATTCAATCACTTTTTAAAAGTACTTTTGGTTAACTAGAAAATAGTAGGAATGGCTAAAGAACAGAACTTACATAGTAGTCTACTCCTGAGATAAACTACAATTCTGTTTGCTAAACAGCACCCATTTAACCTGAGAATCTGCAACCTTTGTCTTTATTATAATTCTCTCCGCTAAAAGGACATGCTTCAGGATTGACCTGAATGGGCATTCTCAAGTTTTGTGACCTCTTCTATATTAATAAACTCTTTTAGAAGAATTACACTACTCCTTCTTTTCCTGCTCCTTCAATTTTGTGTCTTTAGTTTTTGAGATGAGACTATCTTGAGACAGAAGCTCTGGCTCTTACAATCTTTCTGTCTCTTCCCCTGTGTTCCCTGAGCCTTAGATATAGGAACTGGGTTATAGATCTATCCACTGGGGCTGGCACCCATGGTCCGCTCTTCTCTACAGTTTGAATAGTTGTGGTTTTATGTTGGTCTCCATCTGCTGAAAAAAGAAGCTTCTTTGATGAGGAGCAAAAGCTACACTCATCAGTAGGTATAAGAATAAGTAAGAACTCAGAATGTAGTTATAAATCACACTGCTCTGAGAACATGATAGTAGTAGGTTCTTTTCTGTGTTCCATGGCCTCGACAATTTTTATTTCTTCATCTCTGAGGCAGATACGTTTGTATATTTTTTCTTTTAAAAAATTCATGAGGGGCTGCTAGAAAGACATTCCAGTCACTAAAGTCACATGTTGTGCTTGCAAAAAAAACTTAAGTTCAAGCCTCAGAACTCATGTGAAAAGCTGGGCGTTGGTGTGGGGTGGGGAGAGTAGAGTCGGGCAGGCCCCTGGGGCTTGCCAGCCAGCCAGCTGAGAAGATTTGATGAGCTACTTTCCCATGAAAGACTCTTTTACAAAACACAGGTGAATGGCAATCAAGATTAACCTCTGGCCTCCTCTGCACACATATAAACACAGACAAGCCTATACAAACATGCACACACTCACACACTAGTTATGGGTATTGCATAATATTTTGTATGTATAGCCTTTGGTAAGGAAATTAGTGGTAACTGTTACAATCAACTCAGTCAATGTGTGTTAGATGAACTCAGAGCACTTGCCAATTTGACTAGCAACTTCTCACTAATGATGCTACCATGCGCATTCTAGAGAAAGATCACAATACAGTAGGGCAGTTTCCTTAAAAACAAAACAAAACATACACAAAAAACTTTTCTAGATTTTTTTCTTCAAAGAGATTTTGTGATATGAGGAAAGATATTCAAAATATATAAGGTGGCTTTGTGAGAGTTCTGCCTTGAGGGTACCAAAACCCTCAGCATTATAACAGTGCTGTGTGTCTTAGCTAAGAATCTCATATTTTGCCACAGTGATGACACACATCTTTAATCCCAGAACTCAGGAGGCAGAGGCAGAGGCAGAGGCAGAGGACAGAGGGCAGAGGCAGAGGCCAGAGGCCAGAGGCCAGAGGCAGAGGGCAGAGGCCAGAGGCCAGAGGCAGAGGGCAGAGGCAGAGGGCAGAGGCAGAGGGCAGAGGGCAGAGGCAGAGGCAGAGGCAGAGGCAGAGGCAGAGGCAGAGGCAGAGGCAGAGGCAGAGGCAGAGGCAGAGGCAGAGGCAGAGAGGCAGAGGCAGAGAGGCAGAGGCAGAGAGGCAGAGGCAGAGA